GGTTTGAAAGCTTTTTGGGTCAAAGACCTTACTCTTGGAGGCATTGGCAGGTGTAGAACATGGATCGATATTAGGGTTTAGGGTTTAGGGTTTAGGGTTTAGGGTTTAGGGTTTAGGGTGGGGTTCTGGGATGTTTGGGGTTTGGGCTTTTCAGGCTATCTATGGGTTTAGGTTTGGGATGTTTAAAAGCATTGCAATTTAGCCAGGTTGTGGATGGATATATAGTGATTAGAGTTTAAGGTTTAGTGCACTGTGACACTAAACCCTAAACCCTAAACCCTAAATCATTACCTATATTATTTTTGGGGCTCGTGCGGTTCTGGTGCTGGGGTTAGGATCTCTGCCAGTAGAGGTTTTCCACATTTCTGCTGCAACAGCATCCTCCTTCGGGTCAACATAAGGGTTTAGGGTTTAGGGTTTAGGGTTTAGGAGCATGGCCATGGCATTGATGTCTGGACCATATCATGTCGCTTTTCGAAGGCTTTCGGGTGTCTTTACTGTAGACTGCGAGGAAGCAGAACGTGGACGGTGGGGAATTACCAGTACTATTTTGGGGGCTCCTTCTTATAACTATAGTATATTGGGCCCCAGTACCCTAGTCTAACTATTAAGGCCCCTATAAGCCACTATAATATTAGTATAGTGGGCCCCAATACCCTATTCTAACTATAAAGGCCCCTATAAGCCCCTATAATAGTATGGTGGGCCCCAATACCCTCTTCTAACTATTAAGGCCCCTATATGACAACCATTCCGGGGCGCACCGGTGTCCGCTTCTTTCAATCATAGGCCGGGAGATGCTATTTTCACTGCAGTGTTCGCAAGGACCCCTTCTTCGATGCATGGGGTCTGCAGTTTAAAGGGCTTTAGGGTTCCTTTTGCAGGATTCTAGTGTTCCTTTTAGAGGGTTTTAGGGTCGTGAGTTCCTGGGTTTAGCATCACCTACATATCCCGTTAGATTCTTCCTGGAATGGCTGATGTCTTGACCGGCGTCCACACGGCTCCCGCCAGGCTCATAAAGATCGTGGCTGCGGTCGAGCACAGGCCATCTGTCATGCACTGCTGCTGATGATGACGGGCTCTACTATAGGGGAAAAAGAATTAGAATAGTATATTATGCTATACTTATAATAAGGAACCCCCAAAACCCTATTCTAATTATTAAGGCCTCTACATTATCGCAAAATATCAAACGGAAGAACCGCCCCTGCATTTCACAAAAGCCACGATGTTTTGAAGGTAATATAGGGGCCCAAATAATTACCAATACTATTTCTGGGGGTTCCTTAGTATAGTTGTAGTAGAATGGGCCCCCAAAACCTATTCTATAATTATTTAGGGCCCTACATCAGACCAAAACGAGTCTCTCTGTTCGCATTTAGAGATTTTGACCTTGATTCCCGAGATCTGCCAAAGCTCCATCGGGTCCCCAGATCGAAGGCTGTTTCTACTGTAGGGTTTAGGGTTTAGGGTTTAGGGTTTAGGGTTTAGGGTTTAGGGTTTAGGGTTTAGGGTTTAGGGTTTAGGGTTTAGGGTTACATCAGAAGAAAATCCATTCAGAACGTTGCCTAAGACAGAGGAACTGGGGACGGGCGCAGCCTTAATTCCAAGTCGTTGCCCTTGCAGGCCAGCGCCGTGTACAACGTTGTGCCTTGGTTGACCACCAGCGCATGCTCGAGCTGGATAAGACCCTAAACCAAAAACCCTAAACCCAAAACCCGAAACCCTAAACCCGAAACCCAAAACCCAAAACCCCAAACCCTAAACCATAAACCTATCGTGGGTTCAGGGTTCAGGAAGCCCCAGGCAGCTTCCTGGTGGAGGTCCTTCACACGTGGAGTTGTGCAATGCGACCCTAGGGTTTAGGGTTTAGTGTCAAACGCCGATTCACTGTGGTTTCACCTGGTCCATCGATTTTGTTCCGCTGCGGACTAGCATACCCACCTGCCAGCTACTTGTAGAAGGCCACAAGAACCACGGTTGATGATATAAGTCTTGCATCACCCACAATTTCCCATAGTTTAGGGTCCTTAAAGTAATGCAGGACCCAGAGGCTCCATATATAGTACCATTATGGAATTAGGTCCTTAAAACCTTAAGGATATTCTTTTGGGACCCAATTCCAAAATGGTACTATATGTGGAGCCTCTGGGGGATTTATATCATCAAGCGTATCTTTGGTCTTGGTGAGCTTGGCATCCCCGACCCTCTGCCAAAGAAGCTAGCACTAAGGGCTTTAGGAGGGACCCTTACTAGGGACCCTTGTAGGTTATTGGGGTGAATATGGAGACTACCTGTACAATGGTTATTTAAGGTAATGGGATTAAGGGTCCCTGTTAGGGGTGCCTCCCGAAGTCCTTACACTAACACATGTTAACAACATCCCACGTGCTGAACCCTAAACCCTCTAAGCCGTACCAACGCTATGAACTCTGTAAACCCTTTTACACTGCATTACAGCTTAGACCCTAAACCCATATAAACCCTTAGCCCTAAACCCTAAACTGCCCTAAACACTAAACCCTCAACCCTAAACCCTATAAACCTTTAACCCTAAACCCTAAACTGCCCCAAACCCTAAACCCTATAAACCCTAAACCCTAAACTGCCCTAAACCCTAAACCCTAAACTGTCAACCCTAAACTGTCCTAAACCCTAAACTGTCAACCCTAAACTGTCCTAAACCTTAAACCTCAAGCCCTAAACCCACCCTGCAACCCTGGATTTCCGAGGCCAGCATTGCCAGAGCTTACGACGTCCCTGTCATTGCCGATGGGGGGCTCCCCGGCGGCGAGGGGCATTTCGGGTTGAAGGTTTAGGGTTTATAGGGCTTATAGTTTATGTAGGGTTTATAGGGCTTTTAGGGTTTAGGGTTTATAGGGCTTAGGGTTTAGATAGGGTTTAGAGGGTTTTCAGAGTTCTCAGGGTGTAGGGTTTAGGGTCGCGAGGGTTTAGCGGCCGTGACGTGTCTGTTCGAATGACCCCGCTAAACAACCAAACCCTCTCATAAACACCATAAGCCAAAATACTGAATAGCGACTTGAATTTGACAACTTGAATTACCCTAAACCCCAAACCCTAAACCCTAACCCTAAACCCTAAACCCTAAACCCTAAACTAGAAGCTCCTTAGCAAGAACCCAGCATCTGAGGATCAGCAGCCCGGGCCACATCGTCAAAGCACTTTCACTGGGCCGCTTTGACGAGATGCGTTTGGGGTGGTTACGGGTTTAGGGCTCAGGGTATGGCGTTCGGGGGTTTAGGGGTTTTAGGGCTGAGGGTATAGGTGGTATAGGGTTCTGGTGTTTAGGGGTCTAGGCCCTAGGGTATAGGCTTCAGTGGTTTAGGGGTTTAGGGATTTAGGGTTCACCAGAGAGTGGGAGGTGGCTTGAATAATGTGAAATGCGATTCAAGACATGGACAATATGATCACTTTTGATCCCAGTCATGACCATGACCAAAACTTACCGAACAATAATTTAGAACCCCACGTTGTGTGTAATTGCCCCTCTACAATTGCGAAGGATGGGCACTGGAAATCGGGCTTTGTACTCTAGCCGGACAGGCCACGGCGGATATGTAAAGAGTAGGGCTTCGGGTCTAAAGTTCAGGGCCGCGATCGAGTTTCTTTGAGTTCCCATGCAGACTACATGCTGAGATTCCCAAAGTATCCAGCTCACATGTGCCTATGAATCCAGCTGGTCTATAATCGTTCCTCCCAGCGGTTTAGCGTGTAGGGTTTAGGGTAGATCCCTAAACCCGGAACCCTAAATCCTAAACCCTAAACCCCAACTCTAAACCCTAAACCCTGAACCCTAAATCCTAAACCCTATACCCCAACCCTAAACCTAAACCCTAAACCCTAAACCCTAAACCCCCAACCCGAAGAGAAGTCCCAAGCCTTCAAGCTTCAATCCTCAAATCGTACTGTAGAAGCTGTAGTAGCTAGAATGGTGCTAGTAGTCCTCAGAGATCTTCAGAAAAGCCGTGCGTTAGAATGTACCCCCTTATTCTGTCTGCTAAGATCTGAACATTAAACCCTAAACCCCTAAACCCTAAACCCTAAACCCTAAACCCTAAACCTTAAACCCTAAACCCTAAACCGTTAAACCAGCCACCCATGTCTGCCAGGAGCAGAGACGGTGATGTGCGGCAGCCTCCTTGCCGGAACCGAGGAGGCACCAGGTGAGTACTTCTACGCCGACTCCGGCGCGCGTCTGAAGGCACCGGGTATAGGGCGGTTTCGGGTTTAGGGTTTAGGGTCTAGAGTTTAGAGTTTAGGGTTTAGGGGTTTAGGGTTAAGGGCTTAGGGTCTAGAGTTCAGGGTTTAGGGTTTAGGAGTTTAGGGTTAAGGGCTTAGGGTCTAGAGTTTAGGGTTTAGGGTTTAGGGGTTTAGGGTTAATGGCTGAGAGGGTTTAGGGTTGGCGGTTTAGGCTTCGAGGTCACCGCGATTTTGGTGTCGGGGTTGGTCTAATATAGGGCTTTCATAACTAGACTAGTGTTTTGGAGTTTCGTATAATATACTTATAGGGAAACCTAGTAGATAGTGTTGATCAATATTCAGGCTGTTTTTTGGTGTTTAAAGGGTTTGGTTTTGGCTGGGTTTCGGCCTATAATGCTTCTACGCGTTTATAAGGCTTTGGAATTAGACTTTCGCTTGGGAGGAATTCGAAGCCGAAAACCAACTTCATACATACGGCCTTGAGTCCATCACTGCCATTATCCAACAACAATGCGCTTGTAGACAAACTGGCCTATAATTGTTTACGATAAGGTTTGAATTATACGTTTCTCTACCACAAGCCCTTGATTTTGTCCATCAGCAGTGGTGGTGGCTAGACCCTAAACCCTAAACGTGACAACAGATCCTGTCGTGGCATCCTGTGTGCAGGCCTATCGCGGCATCGCTTCTTCGGGCGTGACGGGATCGGTGCAAGATAAAGGCTGCTTGGCAGTTTAATATAGAAGCCTAAATAATTATCAATACTATTGTGGGGGTTTCTTATTATAAGTAAAGTATAGTCTAATATACCTCAAAATCTTTATTCTAATTATTAAGGCCCCAACATTAGGGTGTAGGGTTTAGGGATTAGGGTTCAGAAGGGCTGCCACCGGGCCGGACCACCCCAATCGTCAGCACTATCATACAGGCGCCGGCGCAAGTAGTCATAATATCTCATTTTGGTGCAATTGCTTGTTGTCTGACACCGTACAAACCCCTGTAAGCCCACATATATAACTTACGTATATACTCGTAAGACCCTTTACAGCTGTAAAATTCATAAAGGCCTAGGAGGAAGGTTGGGATATGGACCCCTGCCGGGGCTTCCTTTGAAGCCTTTCTAGGCGCTAGCCAGTGCTTTCAGGGCGCATGCCTTCGGCGGAGTTCAAAGAGCTTCTGCTGCCTGATTGTGGGGTACCAGAAAGCCCAGAGCCCAAAGTGGGTAATGTAGAGGCCTAAATCATTACCAATACCATTTTGGGTTTCCTTATTCTATCTATAGTATAATACACCCCCAAACCCTATTCTAACTATTAAGGCCCCTATATTACCATGTGTAGAGCTTAGGGCTTTAGATTTTAAGGCTCTAGACTCGCTTTTAATAGAGTTTACGGTCCAGGGTGGGGGCTCTAACCTCGGCACATCGAGGCACTATCTCTGTACACGTAGCCTTAGTTGAGTCTTGTGCAGGCCCTGCCTGGAGAATCCATGGTGCGGTCTCTCAGTGCATGTAACAAAGTACGCCTGACAATTTGAGCTCTAAGGGTCCGTGTGCCCAACTAGTATCAGAGCTTCTCACGCAGTGAAGCACTTTAGACTTAAACCCTGCCTAGGACGTGCTAAGTACAGGTCTACGGTGTATAGCCACTCCCGTTCGGGGCAACCACCTACTTCCGAGGTAGTCCCACGAATCTTCAGAAAGCCTGTTCGCTGTAGCTGTAGATCAACTCTGGAAACATGGCGGCTCTTCATGTGTCGCAAAGCTGATGCCTAAACCCTAAAACCCTAAACCCTAAACCCTAAACCGCATGAAGCCAAGCTTGGAACTACTGAGGCTCCCTGCACAAGTACATGCCCTACTTGGCGCAGGGAGTGAAGCATGGGATGCAGGAGCAGCCTGCAGCCTCGGGTGTAGGGTTTAAGTAGCTACGGGCCTGTTATGTAATGCATCTTTGTATGCATGTATGTATGTATCTATCTATGTATCTATGTATGCATGTATGTATGTATGTATGTATGTATGTCTGTATGTATGTATGTATGTATGTATGTATGTATGTATGTACGTATGTACACATATATGATACATCTATATATATATATATGTATACACACATATGTTTTTCGCGAGTTTTCGCAGCAACTCGCAGAGCTGAGTGCAGAACGACAAAGGCGGATTCCCTGCAGAACATGTTTCTCGGGTTCAGAGGGTTCAGTGTTTAAGGGTTTAGGGTTTAGGTCCATAGTTTCATGGGGCTCACAATTCAGAAAAGCCTTGTCAACGGCCGAATCCAGATTCCCAACTTCATCCCTGAACAGGATTTGGGTGCAAAGTCTGTGCGGGACTTGATTGTGCAGCCCTCGGTGGGATTATAGGTTCTAGGCTGCAGGATTGAGACTTGTTGCCCAGGAGTCTGTTCCAAATAGTAACCAGGGCAACAACAGGAATAGCTCATAGCAATATTAGTAGCGTTAGTGAAATTGGTAAGATAGTAAGAATGCTAATAAGCGCTTAGGGTTGAGAATTTCGGGCTGAGTTCGCATCTTAGCTCCAGTTAGCCTTGGTCCAGTTCCGCTGGCGCTGAGCTTTGGATTCAGCCTCTTCTACGGTTTAGAAAGAATAGGGTGTTTAGTACTTGAAAGGATGACCTTGCATCTAAGGTAGAGGTCTGAATATTTAGTCACATCATCTGGGGTTTGGGGAACTCGCACTCCGTATCCTAAATCTTTTGCTCAAAAACCGAAACGCCTGCCTGCCTGCCTGCCTGCCTGCCTGCCTGTTTGTTTGTCTCTCTGTCATCTGTCTGTACATACATGTACATGTCTCTCTCGCTCGGTCTCTCCCTTTTTCTGTTTCTCTCTCTGTCTCTCTCTGTCTGTCTCTGTCT